GCACTTGCCACCAACTGGATAAACAAGATTGCCAAATACAGAAAAAGCAAAGAGCCAATAATACCAATTGAAACACATATTTTGAAAAGTCAGACCAAAACAAAATTGAAAGAACTTTGCTTAAAAAATACAAACACATTCAAACTCCAATATGTTGAGATAGAAAACCATGACATACAGATAATTCAAGACAACATAGAGTCAGAAGAATACTAAAAATGGCTATATACAGAATATAGACTTAGCATGAATTAGGACAAAGAAAATACTTATCAATTTTACATAGATGAAGCCATAAGCAAAACATCATATCAGTTCACAAAAATGGGAGCAGCATGGCTTCAAACAGAAGGACTGAATCCAGGAAAAATATTCTAAGCAGGAGTTGATAGCTGACCCTCTTCAACAAGAGCAGAACTAGTAACAATTCTCTTAGTAGTGATAACTATATCAAATGATAAAAGGGTAAAAATCAAAATGGATAGTGCCAACTGTATTAATACTTTTACAAAGCTAAGCAAATTTCATCCTAAAGAGACACTAAGGAGACAAATGAAAATACCAAACTGATAATTATAGTTAAGACTAATGAATACAGTTACAAGGAAAAGAATCCAACTGAAACTCATCAAAGTCAAAGCCCATAGCAAAAACATATTAAACAATCAAGCAGATCAGTTAGCTAAAGTAGCAAAAGAAGAGCCAGTAATCGTATGGAAACTATTATCAACAATAATCCTAATCACAGTACCAGAATGGAACAAAATCCCCATAGACATCTCAATTAGAGAATTCATTAAAGATGTTAACATGAGAGAGATCCTAATACAATAGGCATTGCTTAACAGAATACAACAAAGATGAAAAAAGGATATAGCAAATCATAACAAAATCGATTAGAGAGGTTTTTGGCAACATAATAATAACAAAAGATCATTAACTACCTTATTCAAACAGATGAAAGAAAGAATATTCAAAATCAAGCTCTTATACAATGAATTGCCAACCCTGAACAACCAAGTTAAGCGAAACACTCAAGAACTAGTAGCAAATATCAAATGTAACTTTTGTCTAGATCATGAAAAAACGGTAGATCACTTGGCAACTTGTAACGAACTCCAAAAAGAAAAAGACAGGATATGGGAAAATATTCTTAACAAGCTGTGTGCATCTTGGATCACAAAGCATACCAACAAAAACAAGAAGAAAGCCAAATGGAATCTAACACTATCTTATAGAATAATGGAAAGATGGAAAGTCAAAAAATTGTCTTTAGCAAAAGAATTAATAAACATCAGTATGGGATTGTGGACAAAAGAAGAAACACTAGAGTGGACTCAGATATGTCATGCACTCAACATATACAAAGCAGCAGCCCAAAAAATCTTAAACAAGATATCTCAAGGTTGGAGTAAGGAGTTTCATCAACAAATCTGGAATATAAGATGTAAAAAAATCCATAACCAAAAAAAAGCACATGACAAAAGAAAAGAAAGAAAGACAGATTACAACTCAAGGATATCAAGGAAAGTCTTCAAGTCCAAGGAGAAACACAAACCATAGGAAAAGGAAAATGAAACAATAGCAATACTGGCAGATACAAGCCTAGCAACCAAAGGTAACAAAATTTCAGAAATTCTTATACAGACCTTATAAAACAAGATAAAGGAGAGAACCAAATGGTTAGGAATATAAAGTAATCAAGATTTTGCCAAGATGAACTGTAGTGTTAAACTGCAAGCAATGAACTCAAATCTTTTTAGAAATGGAGGAAATGAGCAAGCAATATTATTCATTTTCAAGATTATACTTAGAGATTAACAATCAGAGACAAGTATTCAAGTATTAGCTTAGTTTATATATAAAAGTTTTACACTTGTATATTTTCAACTCCAATGATTAAATAAACATAATAAATACTTGTTTGATTATGGAATATATATATATATATATATACAGTATATTAAGCAACTATATCCAATAGAATGCATTATTTTGATTTGGATTTTTTTCAATATCAAATTGAATATATACAAGAATTACTAAAGAACCTTTATAGTTTTTCACTTTAAATAAAATGAATCAAATATTTGTATAAATTCCAAGATTTCTGGAATTAAAAAATTTTTTGCATAGTATTTAATCTATTGCAAGACTAATTATAGATGAATATAAAAATATAATGAAAGTTATAATTTTTGTAATGAATAACATACTGTATATGATGAAAGTATACAGAATACAGATATTAATGAATTGCCAATAATTTATCAAAAATAAAATAAAATCTATATAATTAGTGGATATAAAGAGTTTTCCAATAGTGATTTAAAAATATTTAAGGTATGAAATAATTGTTTATTTAATTATATTATAAAATACTTAAATTATATTTTATTATAGGAGTCTATTAATATATAGGCACAAAAATTTATAAAAATATTTAAAAGATTTTTAGTTTCACAACTAAACTTTCAAAATTATACTTATAGATATATTATATAATTTTATCTATTTGAAAATATGAAATAATTAATGAATTTACTTCAGAAATCTACAAAAGTCTCTATAAGGAACATGTTAAATAACCTTATTATTTAAGTAATAAAAAAAATATCAAAGAACAACTAATGCAAAATATAAGTATATATATTAATTAACAAACTTTTGAAATATCTAACAATATTATATATTTTTAGAATCAAAGAAAAACAATAATTAATAAAATTCCACAAAGCTTTAAAGAACGAATAATTATTTCAAATAAACTATAGAAATTTGAATCTAAAAATTTAAACAATTTGATAAATGAAGTACTTTAAATTTTTTCAAAAAACAATAAAAATTATAAACAAGGATTTGAAAATCTTAAAAGTGTTTTAAAATTATACTTTAATTCTTTGAATATTTTAATAAATAATTTTATATTAACTATATTTGAAACAGTTATAATAGAAAATAGTGGAATTGTTCGAGCATCTAATAAATATTATAACACTTCATAATTTAGTGATATATCAATTAAAATGAACTCTAAAAAATTATGTAACTATATAACAGATAATAGAATTTGTTATAAAAAAATAATTATAATTATTTAAAATATAAATATTATTTTATTTTAAGACTAATATAATTTTTTTAGGTTTATTAATAATAAAGATAAGCGAAACAATTCAGAGACCTCCCCTTCAATTAGTATTAGTACAATAATATGATTTTAAATCGAAAAAATCACTATACATATATAAATATATGTATATACTGTATCTTAAATCAACAGATATATAGTATATAATCTAGTAGATATAAGAGCAATAGATAATTTGATTTATATAATTCACATATTTAGTAAAAGTAATGAATATTTATTAAATTTTTTTTTTTTTTTAAATCAACCAGCTGGGTCTTGCCTGGCATATTTTATTATTTTATTTATATATGTAATTCATGTATTACAAGAACTACTATCTATAAATAATTCTACATATCGCTAGGCTATATCAGACCTACCCCATATCGGCTTGTTGCTGTCAGTATTTACCCCAGAGGGGTTGTGTTGAGCTAACGTGCCAAAGCCCCGTTAGTGTTGTTATTATATCATTATGTTCTATTTGACACTGTGTAAGTTTTAAAGGAGAAGTTTGAATGTAGGAAACTGGGGGTAGTACCTATTCTTTGACGAATAGAACCACTGCAGAGAGAATCCTTCTAAACCCGACCACCTGCAGATGGGTGTACCATTTAATTTCCACCTTCCTAGAACTACCCAAGAACGTTCAAGAAACTTATCTCACAGACTTACAGCCTATAGATTGTTTCAGCTATCGGTACTTACTGCTGTTTTGGCTGCCTTCTCAGGATAGGTAACTGTTGAAGTGATCTATTACTGGATTGGAATAAGACCTTTCTGGAAACTTGCAAGAAGAGATACCAGGTACTACGGGGAAACGATCACCAAGTTATCTTTACCGAAAGCGGACACCTCATACATCTTACAACTTCCGGCGATCATCATAACACCAACCGGACGATTGTCGCACCACGACACCTTTTCTGGAAATCACAATCTCAACATCCACTGGATATGGTTCCGAAAATTGGAATCGAATAGAATCAAACAGAATCGCATGAGGTTCGAAACACTATTAAAAATGATAGTAGGGTATATCCCACCTATTAAATTTAATATAAACTTGAGAATCGAATACAGAATCAAAGAGAATCATTAGGATCCTTACCGCTGGATCAGCGTGTGATACGGCTTCTCATGAGAAACAGTGCTTATACAGGTTATGGCGCCAGATACCATATTAATTCTATTTAACTGCCCTTACATGGGTTGAACTGGTATCTTGTGATTTGACCTGTGGAGTGTTAACCACTACACTATAGACCCACAGGTCTATTATTTATTGAAATATTTAAAGAATTAAAATATAATTTTAAAATATTTTCAAGATTTTCAAATCCTTGTCTATAATTTTTATTGTCTTTTAAAAGAATTTGAATTACTTCATTTATTGAATTGTTTAAATTTTTTAATTCAAATTCCAATAATTTATTTGAAAATGTAAATACTTTTGAAATAATTATTCATTCTTTAAAGCTTTATAAGATTTTATTAATAATTATTTTTTTTCGATTCTAAAAATATATAATATTGTTAGATATTTCAAAAGTTTATTAATTAATTTATATGCTTTTATTTTGTATTATTATTTTTCAATATTTTTTTTATTACTTAAATAATAAGATTGTTTAATATGTTTCTTATAAAGACTTATAGATTTCTGAAGTAAATCTATTAATTATTCTATACTTTCAAATACAGTTATACCTCAGTTATATCCCCTTCAGTTATATCCCAACCTCACTTATATCCCAGCTTTAGCATAGGACGAATTTTCCTATTCTAATTCCATATAAATATATCTCAGTTGTATCCCACTCAAATATATCCCTATCCCCAACTTTCACAATTCTAATTTCCCAATTTTATGGTTATCCAACCTCGTTTATATCCCCTAAATTATACAAGAAATCATAAAAAATAAAAAATAAAAAATATATATATATATATATGGCTGATTCTTTTTGAAAACGACAAAAATGTTATATACGATATTTTGATCACTATTTTTTGAACAATACATATACAATATAAATTCTAGGAGTACAATTATAAAGTCCGAAAAATCCCTGTTTGCCTTTAAAAAGAATTACTCATATATATAAAATGATGATGAATTAATAATGCTATAACAATGGGAATTCGCTGCTCCTGCCCAAAGAAGAAACAAGAACAAGAAAAGGCCCTGAAGATATAACCGGTATGCTGTATGATCACGAGAAAATTAACACACCTCCAATATACAAAGAAAAAATAATGGATTAGCATTGACCATTTCTTTTTTTTAAGTAATACACCAAGACAAAGGCAGGACACCATACCTTCTTGTGCTGCCCCGAAGTATCATGCTAGGAATGGCATCCGTTCACAATGACTTTCACTTCCAAAGAAGATTACATTTCGATGCACATCCGTGTGGTTGGTAATTTCACCGAATCACTGGTTAGGAAACTTGGATACAACTTCGATGAAGACATGTAACTATGCATAAAAAAGAAAAGAAAGGAAAGAGAACATTTACCTCTCAACAAGTTGTCGGTCCGAAGGTCATGCCGGGTGCCAACGATCACAAAAGTCGCGACACCAAAAGAAGCAAGGGATGAGTTTCTAAAAGAAAGAAGGACTGTCCAGTAAAAAGAAAAGAACAGTGGAAAAACCAACGGCAAAGAATCAAACTTACTAACAAGACTCTGGTAACTCATGCCAAGGATGATGGATATCACTAAGGGTCAAGGAGAACCCGCAGATGACAAATTGAACATGAAGAATGGAGCTAGAGAAAGACTAATAAGAAAAAGTTAGAAGCCAATGGTAGAATGCCGCAAAAGAAAGAAAACGCTACAACTTATTGAGTTGCACCAAGACTGACAACTGGAAATGCTGAAATGTCATCATAATTACGATCACAATCACAATTGTAAAAGTTTACCTTACAAAGTAGGATAATGCATGCCTAGAATATACTGTATATGCATGCATATATATTCAGGACGGCAAGAAATGGCTAAATACTCCGACAAGCCCCACAACAAAATCAATTATAGGCACCAGATTCAAGTTTATACATGACCTCAGATGCGACATCTTGATGCTGCCATAATCACAATCACCATCATGATCACGATTACATATTCTCCCCATACAAGAAATCATGAATGGATCCAAAGTCTTACTGAACGTCTATGGGCCTTGACTTCATTTGCACCTAAGAAGCAAAATAAGAGTTCCATTAAAAAAAAAAATGGATTACTTTGGTGGACGAAGAAATGCACATTATCCTAGTGATTCTAACCTTTTGTATATACCAATGTCAGCTCATTCAACACAATCGGTTTCCCTAATATAACAAATGTCATCTGCTCTTGATGGAAGTATTCACAATACCTCTACAAAACAAGAGACATAAATTGTGTTATGATTAAATCCCCGTCCCTTTATAAAAAGAAAAGAAGAATGTGTGGTACACATACGATAAGTGTGAGGAAATGTAACAGGTAAAAATGAAACACAATGTCCATTACGTGACAAATTGTTGTGTTAGTATCCAAATAACTATGAAGATTAGATAATAAAGGGAGAGACGGAAGGATTGTGAAAAAGAATTATGTTATCCAGCTTTAGTATTAACACCTATTATTCTATGGCTAAGTCGTCATAGACAGATGTAAGGAAAAGAAGTATAAATAACATATAAATGTAAGAGAATAGAAACAGGTAGTCATAGTGAATAAATAAAGACTTGATCAAATAAAACACACCTCAAATTACCTTTAATTTACTTACCCTTATAATGGTTATGCGAATCTTTTCTAGAGTGAGCGCAACAGACTTGCCAATACACCGTTACACTAGTATTTTATTAAATTTGATTAAATATGGCTAGTTCTTCAAAAACCATTAATGCAGATAAGCAAAGAAAATGAAGAAAAAATCTATTGCTCGAAGACAAAGTTGATATCATTAGGAGAAAAGATGCTGATATAAAATTGAGTGATGAAAAACTGGCTGTAGAGTTTGGTGTAGAATGTTTCACTATAAGTGGCATTCTTCGGAATAAAGAGAAATTTCTACAGTTGTATGCAGATGCTAAGAGTTCAGATCTGAAAAAAACGCGTATACAAATGGCACGATTTTATTCATTAGAAGAGACACTTTATAAATGGTTTGAAAGTTTACGTAGTCAAAATATTCCAGTTTCCCAAGATTTGTTAAAAATAAAGGCAGTTGAGCTTTATAATAAGGCTATAGAACAGGGCACACAATTTTCTAATTTTAAAGCATCAAACAGATGGTTGGAAAAGTTTCAGAATCGATATAACATTCATTGCAAAATCATCACTGGTGAAAGCGAATCCATATGTCTTAATCAAGTAGAGAATGAAAGAAAAGAATTGCAACAAATAATAGCTACGTTTAACATAGATGATGTTTACAATGCAGATGAAACAGGACTCTTCTTCCATTTAGGTCCGAACAAAACACTTGCATCAAAAGGTGATAAAGCAAAAGGTACTAAAAAAGACAAAGAATGCATTACAGTTTTGCTCTGTTGCAATGCAACGGGAACAAAAAAACTAAAGCCATTTGTCATAGGAAAAGTCAAAAATCCTCGTTGTTTCAAAAATATCAACTTAACAACATTGCCTGTCAGATATTTTAGCAATAAAAAAGCCTAGATGACAATTGAAAGGTGGAATGAATGACTAAAGTGGTTTGACAATCAACTATCTCAGAAGTCACTTTTGTTGATTGATAATTGTCCTGTGCATACAGATGGCTTGTCCCTTGGTCTTAAAAATTTACAAATTAAATTTCTTCCAGCAAATATGACGGCTTACATTCAACCATGCGATACTGGAATCATTCGCAATTTTAAAGTTTATTATCGAAAGATATTAGTATCACAATGGATTCATGAGTTGAATGAAGGACAAGAGATGAAAAAACCAAATATTAAAGAAGTGATTGAAATAGTTGCAGATGCTTGGGACAATGTAAAACAGGAGACAATAAAGAATTGCTGGTTAAGCACAGGAATATTAACTGCAAAAATGACACATGCCAATACAGGTAATATGAAAACTGATGAAGCCGATAATGATATAGTTAAATTGATTTCAGCTTTAGATAGTCTTAGTATTGCAGAACCCTCAATAGATAATTTGACAGCAAATGAATATATAGAGATAGATAATAATTTGGTTAGTGCAGAGTTATCTACAGATGACGAACTTATTGAAGAAATTCTTTTGGCTGAAGGAGTCTTACACCTGACACAAGTAAATATGGAAGATTCAAATGAGGAAGAAGAAGCAAGCATTTCTGTAAAGGTGGGAAGAGAAGTACTTGTAACAGCCAGGAAGTTTTTAGAACAAAGAGAATTTACAACAGAAAGTGATATAAGATATATCCGCAATATAATTAAATGCTTAGATAAAACAGTAGAAATGTTAAAACGTCAAACTTCACTAATAGAATTTATTAACCAATAAAATTGCACGATATTATTTATGAAAATGCTATACCTCAGTTATATTCCAACCTCAGATATACCCCCAAAAATTTCAGGTCCCAAAGTGGGGATATAAATGAGGTATGACTGTAGTTGAATTGATTTCAGCTTTAGATAGTCTTAGCATTGCAGAACCCTCAATAGATAATTTGACAGCAAATGAATAT